CGTGCTCAGCAGGGTGTTGAGGTCACAAGTGTTGAGGCTGAGCGAGGCGATGGTGTCCGGGTTCGTGCCGTTCAGGCTCTCCAGGATGGTGGAGTACGACGACTGCGTCACGTAGCCCTCGGGCAGGTCGAAGGTGTTTGTAAGCAACAAGATGTTACTGCATTCAGCACGAGGTCATTGCCACAAGGGGAGAAGTGTTATTTGAGAGAGTCGTGGCTGTGACGTCACACCCTGCCACTTGGTCACGTGACACCACCGCGGAGTTGTTCGCAGTTGTGCTGTGCATTTTCAGGTTGAATGTTCGACGTTTCGCTCCACATGCCAGGAGCGTTTGCAGGCACCGAACCGTCCATATACACTATGCAGTGCAATTCCAAAAGATCTAACGCAGTAGAAAAGCTGCTATTTGTTGAACCACTACAAGGAGAAATCCTTCCCGTTTTGTTCGGAGGAGGTGGACACGCAACCGATGCATTCCACAATTGACTCTTGGGTTAGGCCAGGGAACGGTGACCAAATTTGTGTCGTTAAGACCCCCGCACCACCCGACACAGCCACACAAATTGAATTGTCCACAGAGCATCGGCTTGATGAATGTGTGACGCTCATCGCAGGGCTCCCGCTTTCTCACCTGTCAAAGCAGGCGTTGAACTGCTCGGTGGCACGGAATCCGATGATGGAGTAGATGACGGTGGCGGCGTAGATGGAGGTGCAGGCGTTGATGATGGAGATGACCACGGCGTCGCGCTCGCAGTTGTTGCTGCAAACAGAGGAGAGGGTGGCTCAGAGGTCAGGGTGGCTCAGAGTGGAGCCATTGGCTACGTACGGTGCGAAAGAAATTCAACATTCATACATACATTTCCTTCCCCCGCACCTTCGATCAGCATGGTTGGCTACGTACGGTGTGAAAGAAGTTCAATGTACATACATACAAACAAAACACTACAATGAGAGGCAACAAGACAACACAGCTTCTGTCATTACAAGTCCGCATTCTGGCTTTAACATGGCCTAAAAAATAACAGCTTTTTCATAATTAACGTTTAATCTGGGCAAGGTTTCTGAGTGGCGTTGACGCGATCCGTGATCGAAAATGACCACTGCGTTAATTTACACCGGAGGCAACCTTGGTGTTGTTTGCGAGCGACTGAGTGAGCGAGTGAGATGTGCGGCGTGCACGTTGAGATGCGTCTTGGTTGGGAGTGGCGTTTCAACGTGAGGCACGGGGCCACGGCCGCGGTTTTGCTCTTTGCAGAAGAAAAACAGTGCGGAGGATAAGAGCCTGGGAAAATAGGGGAGAGGGTGTGGGGCGTGTGGGGGGGCGCTTCTGTTATCGATTCACTCCTCTGGTAAAGCGGCGGCTCAATGCGGCGTTTGCCCAGGCTGGATAAAGGCTGTGGTGGTGGATTTTGGACTCGTGAGGTGAGAATTGTGCCACTGGCCCCCTGGCCGCCCACCCGCCGACTCACTGCACGGGGTTGTAGCTGGAGAAGGAGATGAGGCCTCCAAAGGCGAGCGAGAAGGAGTAGAAGACCTGCGTGCCGGCGTCCAGCCACGTCTGTGGGTTGGCTAGCTCGGAGATCTGTACGGAACGCATCACACGGGGGGGGGAGGGGGACAAGTGAAAGTATTTCTATTTTATCAGGTAACCTGGCCATAAATGATAGCTCAATGAAGTGGCTTGTCATGTGAATAATTATAGCCGCAAAATACTCTAAACACGTGATGTTCGTTCTGAATGTGGAGGGAAGAACCTGAGGACTTTGGATAAAAATCCACACGACCACGGGAGGAGTGACACCGCAAACCCCGAATATACAGCAGCATGCGTCAGGGTGGGGATCGAACCGACGACCTCCTGTACACCAGGCGACGTAGTTAACATCTCGCCACCGTGGCCAGTGTAGTAACGATAGGAACAATCCTACCATGGACACTGCCGGTATTTCACGTTGCAGGCAGAATGTGTGGATCGAAGGCCTTTCTTTTCCAGGCAAGCTTCACCATCTCGTCATCGCACAATAGCACGCTTTCGACATGCAGCAAAATCTGATATATTTTCCACCAACGGTAACCCCCCCCCCCCTCGTATGCATGGCACCGCCGTGATACAACATGGCTACGGACGTAGACCGAGAGGCGTTGCGCCCAGACCGTTGGGGCCACGTGGCATTGGAGAAGGAGCTTTTAAGAGAATGCTCCCCAAAACCCTTGGACTTAGCTCGGCCCTTATTAATGAGTGCACATTGAGACAGCGCTCTGGCTCGTTACCCGCACCGATAAGCAGGCGCTGCTCGAATCTGCATTCATGGCCCTGCGGTGAACAGAAGTTAATCATTTCGACCAATGTTGGTAATGTCAAATCGTCAAAAATAGTCTCAAGGCATATTGTTTGTGGGAGTTGTCCCGTTAATGCTTTATTAAGGGCCGTTAATTGTTAAGTGGAGGAGATGTTTTAGCTGTTTGGGCAACACTGTGTATGCGAGCGGTGTAAGTGGGCAATGTGCGGATTCCACAACGGAATGTGGAACTTGCGCGCAATTCAAAAATGCCCCAAAATAAGTCAAATATCTCAGTGACACGAGCTGTTGGTGACAGCTCCACCCTCAGTACCATGCAGGGGGCGGTGTTGGCGGTGGCAAGATGTTAACTACCTCGCCTGGTATACAGAAGGTCCTGGGTTCGATCCCGATCCTGACATCTTTATATTTGGAGTTTGCATTTTCTTCCTGTGGTCACATGGATTTTTATCGGGGTCCTCCGGGTTTTTTCTTCATTTAAAGCCAACATCATGCGTTTAAAGTATTTGGCTACTGCTGTAATAAGCCACTTCGTTGAGCTTGCATTTGTTGCCAGGTCACTTCTGAAAAATAGCTATTTAGCTCTGTGGGTTTTAACTGGTAAAATAAATAAAATACTTAGTTTATAGTTTAGTTTAGTTGCTCATGAAGGCTGAAAATCGGTCACCTCGGTTGCCAGGGGCTCGGGACTCACGTTGGGAGTGAAGAGGAAGATGATGCCGTCCACCGAGCCCTCCAAGGTGAGGCCACGGATGAGGAAGATGGTGAGCACCACGTACGGCAGCGTCGAGGTGACGTAGACGGCCTGCGGGACAGGGGGACACGGCAGTGAAGCGCCGCCCCAAACGAACGCCGCGCTCAGAATAGTTTTTTGTCTTCGATGGAGCTGCCTTCTCGAGCGCCCTGCACGTGAGAAGAGAGACTTAGTACCACAGCGTCTCATCTCAACGCATTTCAAAAGGGCACCCCGGTGGCAGCTGTCCCTGTGGACATAAAGATGACGCAGCACCCGGTCTGCAAGTCGACATTCGTCCGCGCGACGATGATCGCCATGCCTGAGCGCAACCGAGTAACCGCCGGGCACGCGAGTGCGGCCTTCTCGCCTCAAGCCACGTCCACCGTGAGGCAGACGACGCGTCGGATTTCACGCTCAATGCGCCCAACGGCAATAACCAGGACGGCCTACCGGGCGGGGAACACGCTACTGCTGCCGCTGCCTCCGCTGCTACTGCCGGGAGCGCGAGCGTGGCGGCCGTTGCGTTGACTTCTGGGGAAGGAGTGTGGCCCTCTCACCTTGCCTGTGGTCTCGATGCCCCGTATGGTGCACACGTAGACGACCGCCCACGCGCAGATGAGGCACAGCACGAGCCACCACTGCAGGCCGCCCGCCGAGTCGATCTTGGGGGAGACGTTAAGCGTCTCGCGGTACCAGAAGTAGTCCGTGGGGGAGCTCTTGGCACATTCTGGGACTTGCTCTGTGCCACCGCACGTCACCATCGGCAACAAAACATCGTCATCATTAAAACCACGATGAACCTGGTCGCTACCACCATCATCAGAGCCGGATTTAGACACTTCCTAAGGCTGGGGAGGGGGGAAGTTCCGAAATTCCAAGGTTTTTGAATAGGGACCCAGTTTAGTAATGACTAAAAACATTCCATGCATTTTATCTGCTAAATATCAAGAAACAATTTTCAGGGTCTCAATGGGTGGGGGTTGTCATCACTCACCCCCATCACCAACATCATCATCAATAACATCACCAAAACCACCGCCATCATCAACACCAGCATTCCACCATTGTCATCACCAATCTAATTTGGCTTTTAAAATTGTTGAATGAAAGACTGACATCTGGACTCATGGTGAGCGGTAATACGTTTTGGCAACTGCTGAAATATCTCATGTACAGGTGGCACTTCAGTGAAAAAAATAAAGCAGTAGAGCAGGCAATCAGGCATTGAATTGGCTGTCATGATTTATCACCTCCCCCCCCCCCCCCCGAAATCTGGTGAATTTGCACAAGTGGTCAAGCATCCAATTCAAGAACCATTCGCTTTGTCTCATTCGTGTTACTGCCGTCTCGGGGTCTCTCCTCTGTCTCGGTTATTCCGACAGCCTGAATGCATGCTCTTCGCATTCTTTGTAAATAATACATTCTTACACCGTTAAAGGCACCTCCGATTCGCACGCTTGGCCACGTACGGTGCGAGAGAAGTTCAACGTACGCATATACAAGGCGTACGTCACTACATGCCCACTGACTACAAGAGGCATATTTTGGCCGACTCTTCCACAATGGGCCAGACATCTTGGAAGGAGTACCCACACCTTACCCCACCACACAGCCACCTGCCAATTGACTGGCTGTGGTGACCCCACGTACTGTGCACCGCTGCGTGGACAGGGGCAGTGGTAGGAGGGGAGATTGAAGGGCCCCTGCACCATCGCTTAAACAGCCGTGCCGGGAGATTGAACCGGTGACCAGCCGCACCTCCGATTAGCACGGTTGGCTACGTACGGTGAGCAAAGGAAGTTCAACATGACAGACACACCACCTCTGGATTGCAAGTCCAGCGTGCTTGACCGCTACAGCACGGTAGCTTGCGAAACGTGGACCTCCCTAATGGAACATCTTCGCCGGTTACAAACATTTAGGCTGGCCTGCCTACGATCCAACCTGGGTTTAACCAGGCTGGATTGTGTGAGGAGCTCACAAATCCTCGAAAAATCTGGACAAAGTCCCATCGGTGAGCTCCTCCGGCAGGCAAGGCTGCGTTGGCTGGGTCATGTAGCCCGCATGCCCAGCCAACCGCATGCCTACACAGCTTTTGTTAGGCCGAATCGAGAGGGTAAAACGGGCGCGGCACGGGCTAGAGAAGAGATGGAGTGATGTGGTACAGGAGGATGTGGAGCTGAGTGGACTTGCCGATGACTGGTACCAGCGGTGTCAAGATCGGCCTCAGTGGCGGAGGCTCGTGAAGGACGCTACTGGGCAGTTTGAGGCAGTCGCCCTCGAACAACAACGGAGGGCGGAGGAACGACGCTCACAACAACGAGCGGAGCGCCGAGTGGCTAAAGCACAGCAAGTTGGTACAGTGGGGGGCACAGGTGGTGCATCAGTCAGTCATCTCAGTCGACCCGTGGCACCTAGATCTGCCCCGTGACTTCCTGCCGGCGGGCGTTCGACACTTCACGTGGCCTCAAGGTGCACATGGCCTGGCTCAAGCGTTGTGGTGACGTCATCGCCACTTAGCGAATGAAGGTTGTTGTTGTCGGTGTCTGTGTTGTGGGGAGCGGTGGTGCGGCGGTTAGCACGCTGTGCTACGAACCTCGTGACCCGGGTTCGATTCCCGCTCACGGCCTAGACTAATGACGATTATTTGAACTCTGGGGCCTCCCCTAGGTCGACTCAGCCTCAAATTGAGTACCCGTTGCAATGAGTAAAGATCGCCACTCGAGAGGCAAAGTCAGCCGGGCGTGGTGCTGGCCACCCACCCTATCGTGTGCCACAGTGCCGGCCTTCACAGGTGCTGCTCGCTAACAGCACTTGCCCCGGCAGTCTGTTTAAGGCTGTACGGGGGATCTTTGCCTTTGTCGTGCCGCGACCCCCCACCGAGGCTCCCACTGGCTGCGGGAGGCATGGAGGAGCGTGAGGCGCCAAACCTGTCTGGTTGTCGTTGAGGGGGCAGTAGCTCCAGGGCAGGGGATCCTGGAACGAGTTGAAGAAGTACCACATGACCCAGCAGATGATGGTGTTGTAGTAGAGACCCACGAGCAGAGACACCAGCATGGAGGCGATCCCTGCACGCGGCACGGGCGGCAGCGGCGCGTACACTCCTCCTCATCAACGTCATCATCGTCATCATCAACGTCATTATCACCTACTCTTTGGGTCTTTCGGTAAAGTCACGTAGATAGAAAAATAAGAAAATAATAAAAATCACGACGTTTCGATCGCAACACAAGCAATCGTCTTCAGGTGAAAAAATACAGCAGGCGGCCTGCTGAGGCAGGAAATTATTATCATTATCACCATCATCAATGTCATTATTACCATCAACGTCATCGCCATCATCGTCATCATCAACAACATCGCCGCCATCACCATCATGGCTGTTCTCGCTGTATGCGTGGGTGGCCACCGTGCATGCCGGGTTGCCATAGGCGTTGTAGGCGGCAAGAGGACGATGCAGCAACATCAATTGTTGTACTGCGCTTCTGTGCTCCCTCCTGCTGTCTTCACCAACCCGCACTGTCTCGCGTGAATGGCCAAATGTAAAGCGTGAGTAGTGAGGCGTTGCATTGCCACAATGCAATAATGGCAATGCAACCCCCACTACGGACTATCCCAATGATTTTAACAAGTAGGCTTTCGCGACCAATATCCACAATACAGGGTTAGATCGCCTAAGTATATAAATGTGTCGTTAAGCCCGCCACCACCCGACACAGCCAATACCCACTTTAATCACCCAGGAATGTCCTTCACGCTCGTGACGTCACTGCACGTCAACCAGCCCCCCTCATTAATAATCATGAGCAGGTGACGTCCTCCAAATGGACACCCCCCCCCCCCATTATTAGTACCTACTATAATGAGCCAAGAATGTTTGTGTGCAACGCTCGTGACGTCACTCCACGTCGACCAGCCGCCATTAATAATCATGAACATGTTACGTCCTCCACATGGACCCCCCCCCTCATTAATAATCATGAGTGGGTGACGTCATTCCACATGGAGCACCCGCCCCCCTCATTAATGATCCTAAGGTGACGTCCTCCAAATGGTCACCCCCCTCCATTAATAATTAGCGGGTGACGTCACTCCATATGGGGGGGCGAGGCGCCTCCTCCCCCCTCCTCGGCGTCAACTCACAGCCCTCACTACAAAGGCAGAAGCCTCACGTCACGTGGTCTCCGTCACGCTGTTGTTGAGACATCGAAGTAAAAAGGACGTCATGATGAACAAGGGATTATAACCTTTACATGAAATAGGTCTGTGTCACCGCGTCCTTACAAATTGCACACGCATTGATGCAATGAATATCACGTCGCGGTCTGCTTTTCGCTTGCAAGTTTCAGATCTTCAGCAATACACCCGTCCTTGGGCAAAAGGCTCGTTAGTAAATATTGTCATGTAAACAGAAAGTGCCAATTCGTCACTAGTACAGCACTAACCGGTGTGTTGGAGAGCCACAACATTTACAATCTGAGTACGACGTTTCGCCAGTAATTACAACTAGCTTCATCAGGTGACCGCCAGATTTGTGAAGAAATCATCTTGTTTCGTTCCTTAAATAGAGGGGTAGATGTGATGACGTCACTCGTGTGCCCTTCACGTGCGAGGGGGGCATCAGTGATCCCAGCCAGCTTCACTGCAAGGCCCGCGGGCCACTGGTGGTCCTGGTGGCCTTTAGTGCGGCCCCTGACGTGCAGACCCCCAACAATACATAGATAGTGAAAACACCCCCCATCATCATCGTGCTGCTGTCAAACTCCCCAATGGTTTCAAATGTGTGGCGGCCCTCACCACACTGATGATGTCTTACCGGCGAAAGTGGGCCCCCTCTGAAAACGAGTGAAGAACACCGGACTAGAAAGGCAGCCACTGTGGCCTGCGCTCCTTCGATGGAGGAGGAGGAACAGCAGCCACGACACGAACTCTCCTCTGCTGAGAGCGGCCAGCAGACCATGGCGTTGCCATTTAGCCAACGAACAAATAGCAGTTGTTCAACACGTAGGCTTTCGCGACCAATTAGACCAATATTGAAGACCGTAGCAGGAAATTTATTCGCAATTCTTCACCGGCGAAACGTCACGGTACTCGAATTGTAAACGTCGTTGCGGGTTTCCTCTCCGACACACAAGCGGCGTGTGCTGAAGCAGCAACTAATTGGCACGTTGTGTTTACGCGACAAACCTTACTCACCCATTGGCTGTGTTGGGCGGTGGGTGGCGGGTTTAACGACACAACATCTATACAGTATTTACGCGATCTAACCCAAAACCCCCCAAAACCCCACTTTATTATGGATATCGCTGCTGTCATACCGCCAGACCAGACTCGAAGCGCGTCGACCCCGCGAGTGAGGCCCGGGTCGTACGAGCCCTGCCCGACCCTCGTGCCGCTGGAGGTCACGGCCGCCCTTACCAACGCCGCCCAAGCCGCGGTGCACCGTGTTCCACACGCCCAGGCTCCCCTTGCGCATCCTCTGGCCGATGGCGAACTCCAGGTAGAGCAGAGGGATGCCCTCCAGCACCACGAGGATCAGGAACGGGATCATGAAGGCTCCTGCACGCAACGAAGACAAAGATCCCACCGGATGGCCCTTCAAAGACTGTCGGGGCGAGTGCTGTTCGCGGGTAGCGCCCGCGAAGGCCGGCACGGTGGCGCACGACGAGGTGCGTGGCCAGCACCACGCCCGCCCGCCTTTGTCTCCTCGGTGGCGATGTTTACACACTGCAGCAGGTACTCGTTTGAGGTTGAGTCGACCTAGGGGAGGGCCATGACCGGTCCAGATAATCGTCACCGGTGTTGGCCGTGAGCGGGAATCGAACTCGGGTGGCCGCCGGGTTTGTCGCGCAGCGCGCTAACCGCTGTGCCACCGCTCCCCACGCATGCACGCACGCACACACAAAGATCCCCCTTATAGCCTGTTGGGGCAAGTGCTGTCCGCCCGCACCGGCACACGAGGGGGTGGGTGGCCACACGCGCGCACCGCAACGTTCACAACACTGCCGGGATGCACTTGGCGCAGCCCTCTCTCGTCTAGCGCAAGGCCCTCCTCACAAAGGAAGGCGCGATGGGTGTAGACCACGGATCGGCAACCGGTAAACGACCCCCCCCCCCCCCCCGCCCGCAATATTTCAAGAGCCGCGATGCTCCGTGGCTCACGGTCTCGGAGCATTCCTCGAAGAGCCGCTTGCGGCTCCGGAGCCGCGGGTTGCCGACCCCATTGTTATGGACCATGGCAGTCGGGCAGCAGGTTGACCGTCGGGGGCGATGATTCCGCGTGCAATCCCACGTTGGGGGGAGTCAAGGGGGAGTCAAGGGGAGTCAGGGAGAGTCAAGGGGAGTCAAGGGGAGTCAGGGAGAGTCAGGTAGAGTCAAGGGGAGTCAAGGGGAGTAAGGGGAGTCAAGGGGGAGTCAAGGGGAGTCAGGGGGGAGTCAAGGTGGGTCAAGGGGAGTCAAGGGGGAGTCGAGGGGAGTCAAGGGGAGTCAAGGGGGGTCAATGGGAGTCAAGGGGAGTCAAGGGGGGTCAATGGGAGTCAGGGGGAGTCAAGGGGGAGTCAAGGGGGAGTCAAGGGGAGTCAAGGGGGAGTCAGGGGGAGTCAAGGGGGGTCAATGGGAGTCAAGGGGGAGTCAAGAGGGAGTCAGGGGGAGTCAAGGGGAGTCAAGGGAGAGTCAGGGGGGAGTCAAGGGGAAGTCAAGGGGAGTCAAGTGGAGTCAAAGGGAGTCAAGGGGGAGTCAGGGGGAGTCAAGGGGAGTCAAGGGGGAGTCAGGGGGGAGTCAAGGGGGAGTCAAGGGGAGTCAAGGGGGAGTCAAGGGGGAGTCAGGGGGAGTCAAGGGGGAGTCCAGGGGAGTAAGGGGAGTCAAGGGGGAGTCAAGGGGAGTCAGGGGGGAGTCAAGGTGGGTCAAGGGGAGTCAAGGGGGAGTCGAGGGGAGTCAAGGGGAGTCAAGGGGGGTCAATGGGAGTCAAGGGGAGTCAAGGGGGGTCAATGGGAGTCAGGGGGAGTCAAGGGGGAGTCAAGGGGGAGTCAAGGGGAGTCAAGGGGGAGTCAGGGGGAGTCAAGGGGGGTCAATGGGAGTCAAGGGGGAGTCAAGAGGGAGTCAGGGGGAGTCAAGGGGAGTCAAGGGAGAGTCAGGGGGGAGTCAAGGGGAAGTCAAGGGGAGTCAAGTGGAGTCAAAGGGAGTCAAGGGGGAGTCAGGGGGAGTCAAGGGGAGTCAAGGGGGAGTCAGGGGGGAGTCAAGGGGGAGTCAAGGGGAGTCAAGGGGGAGTCAAGGGGAGTCAGGGGGGAGTCAAGGTGGGTCAAGGGGAGTCAAGGGGGAGTCGAGGGGAGTCAAGGGGAGTCAAGGGGGGTCAATGGGAGTCAAGGGGAGTCAAGGGGGGTCAATGGGAGTCAGGGGGAGTCAAGGGGGAGTCAAGGGGGAGTCAAGGGGAGTCAAGGGGGAGTCAAGGGGAGTCAGGGGGGAGTCAAGGTGGGTCAAGGGGAGTCAAGGGGGAGTCGAGGGGAGTCAAGGGGAGTCAAGGGGGGTCAATGGGGGTCAAGGGGAGTCAAGGGGGGTCAATGGGAGTCAGGGGGAGTCAAGGGGGAGTCAAGGGGGAGGCAAGGGGAGACAAGGGGGAGTCAGGGGGAGTCAAGGGGGGTCAATGGGAGTCAAGGGGGAGTCAAGAGGGAGTCAGGGGGAGTCAAGGGGAGTCAAGGGAGAGTCAGGGGGGAGTCAAGGGGAAGTCAAGGGGAGTCAAGTGGAGTCAAAGGGAGTCAAGGGGGAGTCAGGGGGAGTCAAGGGGAGTCAAGGGGGAGTCAGGGGGGAGTCAAGGGGGAGTCAAGGGGAGTCAAGGGGGAGTCAAGGGGGAGTCAGGGGGAGTCAAGGGGGAGTCCAGGGGAGTCAGGGGGAGTCAGGAGGGAATTCAAAAGCAGCTGGCTTCATCACGTGACCTTGGCCTCCTCGAGGCCAACTCAGACAAAAATGGATGCCTACTTCAGGGACGCTGTTATCAGCTGGCACCACCACCACGTCATCGCGTGTCATTGTTTTGCAATCACCTCAGCTCCTTAAAAATAGCTCTACAGTCATAAGAACACATTGTATATTCTCTGGTACATATCAATTAAATACCATTTTTTGGGGTCTCGAGGTGGAGGTGGGGGGAGGCATCACTCCCATTCAGCCCTCACCTTCGATCCCAAACTGGTCCAGGAAAAAATAAAATCGGTTTGCGTCTGTGCCGAGATGGTGTGACGACGACTATGACCCCAGTGGAGCTCTCGGTGTTGAGCAAGCCTTGAGTAGGTGGTGAGTAGGCGGTGAGTAGGTGGTGAGTAGGTGGTGAGTAGGTGGTGGTGAGTAGGTGGTAAGTAGGTGGTTGTGAGTAGGTTGTGAGTGGGCGGTGAGTAGGTGGTGGTGAGTAGGTGGTGAGTAGGTGGTGAGTAGGCGGTGAGTAGGTGGTGAGTAGGCGGTGAGTAGGTGGTGAGTAGGTGGTGAGTAGGCGGTGGTGAGTAGGTGGTGAGTTGGCGGTGAGTAGGTGGTGAGTAGGTGGTGGTGAGTAGGTGGTGAGTAGGCGGTGAGTAGGTGGTGAGTAGGTGGTGGTGAGTAGGCGGTGAGTAGGTGGTGAGTAGGCGGTGAGTAGGGGGTGAGTAGGTGGTGGTGAGTAGGTGTTGAGCAAGCCTTGAGTAGGTGGTGAATAGGTGGTGAGTAGGTGGTGAGTAGGTGGTGAGTAGGTGGTGAGTAGGTGGTGAGAGGGCGGTGAGTAGGTGGTGGTGAATAGGTAGTGAGTAGGTGGTGAGTGGGTGGTGAGTAGGTGGTGAGTAGGTGGTGAGTAGGCGGTGAGTAGGTGGTGAGTAGTTGGTGGTTAGTAGGTAGTGAGTAGGCGGTGAGTAGGCGGTGAGTAGGTGGTGAGTAGGTGGTGAGTAGGCGGTGGTGAGTGGGTGGTGAGTAGGTGGTGAGTGGGTGGTGAGTAGGTGGTGAGTAGGTGGTGAGTAGGCGGTGAGTAGGTGGTGGTGAGTAGGTAGTGAGTAGGCGGTGAGTAGGTGGTGAGTAGGTGGTGAGTAGGCGGTGAGTAGGGGGTGAGTAGGTGGTGGTGAGTAGGTGGTGAGTAGGTAGTGAGTAGGCGGTGAGTAGGTGGTGGTGAGTAGGTAGTGAGTAGGTGGTGAGTAGGTGGTGAGTAGGTGGTGAGTAGGTGGTGGTGAGTAGGTGGTGAGTAGGCGGTGAGTAGGTGGTGGTGAGTAGGTGGTGAGTAGGTAGTGAGTAGGCGGTGAGTAGGTGGTGGTGAGTAGGTGGTGAGTAGGTGGTGAGTAGGTGGTGGTGAGTAGGTGGTGAGTAGGTGGTGAGTAGGTGGTGAGTAGGTGGTGAGTAGGTGGTGGTTAGTAGGTGGTGAGTAGGCGGTGAGTAGGTGGTGAGTAGGCGGTGAGTAGGTGGTAAGTAGGTGGTGAGTAGTTGGTGAGTAGGTGGTGCATAGGTGGTGAGTAGGTGGTGAGTAGGTGGTGAGTGAGTGGTGAGTAGGTGTGAGTAGGCGGTGAGTAGGTGGTGAGTAGGTGGTGGTGAGTAGGCGGTGAGTAGGTGGTGGTGAGTAGGTGGTGGTGAGTAGGTGGTATTTTGGAAGCATTGCCTAAGGATCCGCACGGAGTGTGTGGTGGCATTGTGGGAATTGGGTGCTAAGGGGTAAGACGCTTCTTACGACCGGATTCGGAGTGACGGCTCAGCTCGGCCTTGAGCCGCCCCGTTGCTCTGAGAAATGCACGAGCAGCTCAGCTCACGGAAATCCCGTGACGGTGCTCAGAGGCGGCGGGGGAGTCAAGGGGGAGTCAAGGGGGAGTCAGGGGGAGTCAAGGGGGAGTCCAGGGGAGTCAGGGGGAGTCAGGAGGGAATTCAAAAGCAGCTGGCTTCATCACGTGACCTTGGCCTCCTCGAGGCCAACTCAGACAAAAATGGATGCCTACTTCAGGGACGCTGTTATCAGCTGGCACCACCACCACGTCATCGCGTGTCATTGTTTTGCAATCACCTCAGCTCCTTAAAAATAGCTCTACAGTCATAAGAACACATTGTATATTCTCTGGTACATATCAATTAAATACCATTTTTTGGGGTCTCGAGGTGGAGGTGGGGGGAGGCATCACTCCCATTCAGCCCTCACCTTCGATCCCAAACTGGTCCAGGAAAAAATAAAATCGGTTTGCGTCTGTGCCGAGATGGTGTGACGACGACTATGACCCCAGTGGAGCTCTCGGTGTTGAGCAAGCCTTGAGTAGGTGGTGAGTAGGCGGTGAGTAGGTGGTGAGTAGGTGGTGAGTAGGTGGTGGTGAGTAGGTGGTAAGTAGGTGGTTGTGAGTAGGTTGTGAGTGGGCGGTGAGTAGGTGGTGGTGAGTAGGTGGTGAGTAGGTGGTGAGTAGGCGGTGAGTAGGTGGTGAGTAGGCGGTGAGTAGGTGGTGAGTAGGTGGTGAGTAGGCGGTGGTGAGTAGGTGGTGAGTTGGCGGTGAGTAGGTGGTGAGTAGGTGGTGGTGAGTAGGTGGTGAGTAGGCGGTGAGTAGGTGGTGAGTAGGTGGTGGTGAGTAGGCGGTGAGTAGGTGGTGAGTAGGCGGTGAGTAGGGGGTGAGTAGGTGGTGGTGAGTAGGTGTTGAGCAAGCCTTGAGTAGGTGGTGAATAGGTGGTGAGTAGGTGGTGAGTAGGTGGTGAGTAGGTGGTGAGTAGGTGGTGAGAGGGCGGTGAGTAGGTGGTGGTGAATAGGTAGTGAGTAGGTGGTGAGTGGGTGGTGAGTAGGTGGTGAGTAGGTGGTGAGTAGGCGGTGAGTAGGTGGTGAGTAGTTGGTGGTTAGTAGGTAGTGAGTAGGCGGTGAGTAGGCGGTGAGTAGGTGGTGAGTAGGTGGTGAGTAGGTGGTGAGTGGGTGGTGAGTAGGTGGTGAGTGGGTGGTGAGTAGGTGGTGAGTAGGTGGTGAGTAGGCGGTGAGTAGGTGGTGGTGAGTAGGTAGTGAGTAGGCGGTGAGTAGGTGGTGAGTAGGTGGTGAGTAGGCGGTGAGTAGGGGGTGAGTAGGTGGTGGTGAGTAGGTGGTGAGTAGGTAGTGAGTAGGCGGTGAGTAGGTGGTGGTGAGTAGGTAGTGAGTAGGTGGTGAGTAGGTGGTGAGTAGGTGGTGAGTAGGTGGTGGTGAGTAGGTGGTGAGTAGGCGGTGAGTAGGTGGTGGTGAGTAGGTGGTGAGTAGGTAGTGAGTAGGCGGTGAGTAGGTGGTGGTGAGTAGGTGGTGAGTAGGTGGTGAGTAGGTGGTGGTGAGTAGGTGGTGAGTAGGCGGTGAGTAGGTGGTGAGTAGGTGGTGAGTAGGTGGTGGTTAGTAGGTGGTGAGTAGGCGGTGAGTAGGTGGTGAGTAGGCGGTGAGTAGGTGGTAAGTAGGTGGTGAGTAGTTGGTGAGTAGGTGGTGCATAGGTGGTGAGTAGGTGGTGAGTAGGTGGTGAGTGAGTGGTGAGTAGGTGTGAGTAGGCGGTGAGTAGGTGGTGAGTAGGTGGTGGTGAGTAGGCGGTGAGTAGGTGGTGGTGAGTAGGTGGTGGTGAGTAGGTGGTATTTTGGAAGCATTGCCTAAGGATCCGCACGGAGTGTGTGGTGGCATTGTGGGAATTGGGTGCTAAGGGGTAAGACGCTTCTTACGACCGGATTCGGAGTGACGGCTCAGCTCGGCCTTGAGCCGCCCCGTTGCTCTGAGAAATGCACGAGCAGCTCAGCTCACGGAAATCCCGTGACGGTGCTCAGAGGCGGCTCGAGGTAAGCGTGGCTCTGAGTCGGCTCACCTGAGGCAGAGCCACGAGCCTGTGCCGAGTCGCGGCGTAGAATCGGTGTGTGTGCTATCGAGATGCCCGTGAACCAGTGGGGGGTGTTCGGGGTATTACTTTTGTTCGTGATGTACAAAGTAATGCGATAACTGAGTCGAAGCGGTGGTGTAGCAACAAGGTTATAATCAGTGGCGTAGTAAACTGTATTATCAGCTCAGGGGGTGCGGCAATCGGTCAAATGGGGCCCCAATATTTGACTTGTCTCGCACGGTCGCTTCTAGGCTATTCTATATCGCGGCTGCTGTTGTTTAATCACATCATAATTACGCTCACGGGCTCGAACATTTCACGCTGTAGGGGCGCTCCGTCCCTACAGCGTTACATACGTCCACGCAAACACAGACACACTGCACGCGCGCTCGGCTGCTGAATGTGCACATGGCGGGGAGTCAATAAACTCTCCTCTCGTTTGAGAATGTATCCTGGAGGAATCCCATGAGCTCTACAGTTATTTGTTGTGACAGATGTCCAGCAGGACATCGTTTCCACGACCTTCCGGGGAGTTGAAACGGGTGACCCCCGAATGCCTCGTAGAGTGAGCTAAACATCACACGACCGTGGCCGCCAGCCCACCGTGAAGTGAGGGGAGAGGCATTTCATGCCGCGGCTTGCGCGGCGACGTCGGGCGAGCGACGCGGCACGCGGGGCACCGCGGGGTGTCGCCACGCGCGGCCTCCCCCGGGGTGTGGGCCCCTCCACCTGCCCAGCTGCCCACCTGTCCAGCTGCCCAGCTGCCCAGCTGCCCAGCTGCCCACCTGCCCAGCTGCCCAGCTGCCCAGCTGCCCAGCTGCCCACCCGTGTGCCCCACGGCGTGCGCCTGTGAGACGTCGCCTCTCGCTCCGGGCTCTCGCGTCGCGTCTTCGAGGAGTCCGCGGCGTGGAGCGTTCTCAGAGTGACGGGGCCCAGACGCCGCCGTCGCCGCATGCCCCGCGGGGCACAACAACACAGCCACCACTGCCGGACCTTGAGAATACTCGGCAGCAGCGGCCCTCACCACCTGGCAGCATCAAATATCTTGCCAAATCGTCCTCCTGGCCAACTCGCTTTGAGGGGTCGTGAATATGGCACCAATGGCACTCGCACATCCACGCCTGCGCAGTAATTCACGATGCAACAACGATCGTGAAGCCATCTCAACCGCAGATGGTTCGCCTGAGAGCAGCGCTTCTTCTTAAGCTGCGGTGCATCTCGCTCCCCCTGGGGCTGCATGAGGCACCCCCTGGGGGTGCGAGACGTGGCCACGTTTGTCTAGAAGGTAAATCATCGAAACACTAATTAAGCACGGCACGTAAGTAACAACTTACTTAGTTTCATCAAACCCCGTGTGTATTTAGTAACATTGTACACTGTTGTAATGATCGAGAACCAAAGGGGTGCAAGGCTGCAGCAAAGGTTAAGAAGAAGCATTGCCTTAGAGAAATCCACGCACACGCGTTATGGATTGGCTGATTACGGAAAGTGAGTAGTGGGGCAGTGGTTAGCGCACTACGCTATCAGGCCGGCGTCCTGAGCTAGATCCCCGGCCAAGGCTAACGGCAGTGGCCGCTGATATTGTAAATCGATCCTCAGCGCCACCACCCCACACTGACCGGCGCGACGTATCAGGAGATGTATTTATTTATTAGCATGGCCACTCGTTCAAGCAGCAGTGCAGTGACGCAGGGCTGTACATTCTGTTGATTTATTGCGGAGATTAAACCATGGGATGTGCGTAGCTGAGTGGTTGATGCCGATCTCACCACAAAAGCCGGCGAGACTGAAAATGAAGCGAATACTAAGACTTACAACGATAGCTTTACGAAACCCCAAAGGTGAACAGTAAAACACTGTGCCACAAGAGACACCTTAGACTTGTTTTAGACGTTGAATGGAAATCCATTCAGCATTGCGCAGCACGGTATCGCAACCCTGACCGCGGTGGTGAGATGTTAACTGCCTCGCCTGGTATACAGGAGGTCGTGGGTTTGATCCAGAACCTATATTTGGAGGTTGCGTGTCTCCATCCCCGTGGTCGGGTGGATTTTCTCCGGGTTCTCCGGTTTTCCCCTCCACATTTAGAATCAACATCCCGCGTTTCGAGTATTTGGCTGCTGTATATTTTCACGTGATGAGCCACTTCGTTGAGCTATCATCTGTGGTCATGGTCGCTTCTGAAAAAAGAGCCGCGTAGCTCAGTGGGCCTTACCTGGTGGAATAAAGACATGTTTTAGTTTAGACCACAGCGACAAGGCGAGGGCCAGTGGTCAGCATGGTCATCACGGTGGCCTGCATCTCTCGTGCAGCCCGGAGGACACGCGTGTGTGTGTGTGCGTGTGTGTGCGCGTGTGTGTGCGTGTGTGTGCACGTGTGTGCGTGTGTGTGTGCTTGTGTGCGTGCGTGTCCACGCGTGCGTCCCATGGCACTCACCTCCGCCGTGGCTCTGGCACAGGTAAGGGAAGCGCCACACGTTGCCGAGCCCCACCGAGAAGCCGACGCAGGTGAGCATGTACTGCGTCTTGTTGTCCCACTTGGGCCGGTCGCCGGCCGTGTCCTTCTCCCGCTCGTCGAGCTCGGCGTAGCTGGGCACGTGCAGGTCCATCTCCTCTCCGCACCCCATGGCTGCCCCCCCCCCCCCCGCTCAGCCGATGGCTCCCGAGTGAATCTCGCCGCCGCCGATCACCGCCGCTGCGGGGACCTCTCGCTGGACGTTCGGGTGACGGGAGCGGGGCTCGCAGGAGGGGGCGCTGGGTCGTGAGCGCGCCTCGCTGCTTGCATAGACCCTTAATTTCCTATCGCTGATATGATGACAACAATAACTGTCGCTCGCCAATTCTAGTCGTGTAATTTGTCGGCCGAGATGTAGGGAGCGTGCCTATGAAGACTCGCAGCTCCGCGCGTGTATGTGTCTGTATCACGAGAGATACGTGATTATGCAAGCAGAGTTGGTGGCTGCTGTCAGAGCTGACGCCGGTGTCGCACGCGGCTGCCGCTGGCTCTGGCCGACCCCGCGAGGCTGCTCCGCGCTGTGATTCGCTGGGGACCCGGCGACCTCAAACGATCCGCGACGATCTTTGCCCCCACTTTTTATTCTTCTTCTTCTTCTGCTCTCTCGCCACCGACATCAGCATTAATCACTCGTCTCTGGCGCACGGACACGTGGCACTCGCACGCCACCACCGCTCCGCCCAAGTGAGCCAATCACTTGTTTTTTAGAACCGCGTTTATTGCTTTGGTGGCGGGCGGGGGGGTCGACACGAGTGCTCGCGTTTCTCACCTCGTTCGAAGCCCCGTGCCAAACGCTTCCCATCATCAACCCCCCAGGCTTGGCCAAATGAGTTGCCACTCTTTGGGAACTCGTAAGTGGCCGTGGTATGGACCGGATTCCAGCGTGGAAAATGTGCTTCCATCTTCCACTGGCTTTGGGTCAAGAGCAGACACGTGGACCATCCCGTTGCATGATCCGGCAGAGAGACACCTTGGGCCCATCAGCTATCTCGTTGTCGAAGCAACACAACCGAACCCATTGCACGCTCTGTAGCCAAGCAAGGAGGTGTAATAATACTGAGAGACATGAAGAGGAATGCATAGACGAGAGAGGGAACACCACTTTAAAACGGAACTTAGTTAGAAGTCAATTGGGCGTGGGCGGGACAATTCGCGGCGAGGAGGGATGATGGACGATGGCCAAGGGTGCTGATGAGGCTGCAGCCCATGGAGGGAACTCGTCAGGGAAAACGCCCTCCGAGGAGACGGAGCGATGAAATCAGTTTCTGTGCGCGTGCTGTGTGGATGGTGAACATCGCTCATTCGCGGGAGATGGCGGTGGCTTAGCCACAGATCTCTCCTCTCTTGCTATGTGTGATGTTCTCCCTCCGAGTGTCTAAGCCAGGCACGGCAACCCGACTTACTTCGCTGAGCTGCACAAAGGCTCAGATAATCGGGGTTCATTTTCTACATCTGCGCCACTCCACTTATCCGGGAAAAGCTTGGATAACGGAATACACCAAAACTAGTCTTTATTGTAATCTCCAGCTAAGGCCCACCGAGATATATAGCTATGTTATAGAAGCGACCTGGCCACAAACGATAGCTCAAATAAGTGGCTTATCGTGTGGAAATGTATAGCAGCCAAATACTCTAAACGCAAGATGTTGATTCAAAATGTGGAGGGAAGAACCGAAGATCCAAAGAATAATCCACGGGACCACGTGGAGGGAGGGCGCGCAAACTCCAACTATACAGGCGCCAGGGTCGGGATCGAACTCTGCTGTATACCAGGCGGAATCAGCGCTTGGATGTTGTGGATTAGTGAAGATTGCTTCGGGGAAATGGTCGACGGGAGGCCTGGACAATAGGTGTGGAGAAGGGACACGTTTTGGAGAGAAAAATGCGAAATGCCGTACAGAAAAGCCACGATGCGCTTGCTGGCGAACGCTCTGTTCGTCTGACACAATGTTGACAACACTTGCCGATGTCTCCATTAGCAACAATGGGGAGAAGTTCTTCCGTGATGCCGCGGATGCCTTTCATCAGTGGCCCTGTACAGCAACTGCGCAGCACATTGGGGGAAACCCGTAGGGTGCGGGACCTTCCCGGCTCAGCGAGGGTGGATCCACAACAACCACCACCAACATGACGCCGAGGGCGTGGGGTTGGTGCACTCTTTTTGAAAGTATCAACGCGACTTGACACCGGTGTCGTCTCGAGAATGACCATCAGCAGGGCGCGGGCTACGCTACACCACGGTATGCCCACGTTGGGGGCCGTATTCTTCGTCACGTCTCAGCTCTGGCTCGGCTCTGGCACGGCTCTGGCACGGCTCTGGCACGGCTCTGGCTCGGGTGAGCCGGCTCATCGCCACGCGTAACTTGAGCCGGCTCTGAGCCCGGCCCAGTTTGTTTTTTTCTCCCTGGAACGGAGCCGGAGCCGAGCCGTGGCCGAGCCACCCGTGCTTCTACGAAAGCAACGGAGCGGATCGACCCGAGCCGCGCTAGAGACCGAGCCAGAACCGAGCCACGACGAAGAGCCCGAGGTCCTGGGTTCAAACCCAGAGCCGCCCCCCCCCATCTGCAATGCAGTTGGAGCGCAGTGAGTCGATGACCACTGCCCATCGATCAGTGGCTGCACGGACGAACAAGAACAAGTGATATCCAAGCGTTAAGATTATAATCGCCGGGCGGGCCGCGTGTGCGTGCGCGTTGCTCCATTGCCGTGCACCGCGCATGCGATCGCACGGCGGGGAAGCGGCGATGCCGCATCCAGCACGCTCAGTTGCGTCCACGCTTCATTCATTGATGCGTTGCCACGAGTTCAGCAACTGCACCCCAACCTCGCCGTGCCCTGTGAGTAAAGAGGCGTTAACAGGCCAGTTGGGTCACTCCGCACACAATTCACCTTGGATTTTAAAAGAGTTGACTATACAGGTGTGTGGGTGTTGACTATACAGGTGTGTAGGTGTTGACTATACAGGTGTGAGGGTGTTGACTATGCAGGTGTGTGGGTGTTGACTATGCAGGTGTGTGGGTGTTGACTATACAGGTGTGAGGGTGTTGACTATACAGGTGTGTGGGTGTTGACTATACAGGTGTGTGGGTGTTGACTATACAGGTGTGTGGGTGTTGACTATGCAGGTGTGTGGGTGTTGACTATACAGGTGTGTAGGTGTTGACTATACAGGTGTGAGGGTGTTGACTATACAGGTGTGTGGGTGTTGACTATACAGGTGTGAGGGTGTTGACTATGCAGGTGTGTGGGTGTTGACTATACAGGTGTCTGGGTGTTGACTATACAGGTGAAGTATTGGAAATGACGGCAGGAACTTCTTGACGGGTAACACACTTTTATTAAATCTTGACGTGTCACAATACAACGTGTGGTCTCTATTCTTTGTACTATACACTCCACTTAACTCGTGTAGACTCTATGCCTCTGGCTACACACAATACACTTGACTCGTGTAGACCCTATGCCTCTGGCTACACACAATACACTTGACTCGTGTAGACCCTATGCCTCTGGCTACACACAATACACTTGACTCGTGTAGACCCTATGCCTCTGGCTACACACAATGCATTCGGCTCGTGTAGACCCTATGCCTATGGCTACACACAATACACTCGCCTCTGGGTTATACAGAGTCCCGGTCCCGTTAGGACAGCGGGACTAGGTACCGCAGGGCCCTATCTCTTCGATCCCCGTCTTCATTCTTCGCTGGTTACATACTGCCCTTACGCCTGTGTGCATCCCCTTTTATAGCCCCTGCTCACGGGAGACGGAGCTGATGCGGACGTCTACGTGATCATCGCTCCTTAGTTAACCAATCACGACGCGCTCTCTCTACGATCCGTTTTCCCCCAGCGTGTGTTAACACTACTCCACCAATCACACCGCGCTGTCACCTGATCACTCCCTCTCAGCGCGTCACCGGCACACAGCCAATCAGCACCCCGTAACCCACGACCCCGCGCTGACCCCTGATCCTCCACCGTCAGCGCGCGTCACCACATACACAGCCAATCATTACGCGCTGGCATACGATCCCTAATCCCAGCGCGTATCACCACTACATCACCCCCTCCCACATAGCTTGCAGCCGGCCCGGCTGTTAACCAACAACACAACCCAACGTCAACGCAATAATAAAAAAAAAAGAACCCCACCCCCCAGTGTGCCCCGTAACGCAACAACGACAACACAACAACATCACTTAAATAAGAAGCAATATACAGCCCGACGAACAACACAATAAAAGCGAACTCCAGAAACTGAACGCGCCAAGTGTCTCTGTGACTAAACGCAGTGACGAGGCGCTCCAGCTGCCTCGACTCCTCACGTGGTAGGTCATAAAAAGTAGCGCGACCTAGCGCGAGTCCGTCTGGCCGGTCCGTCATATGGGACGGGACGCTGGCGACCGTCCGGTGGCTCCGGCAGCTCTAGACGGCGCGGATCGGGCCTGGAAGGACCGGCCCCGCCGCGAAGATCCGGCCGCCGATGGTCGGCAGCTGTCAGTTCCGAGACACCTGGGAGCGGATCAGGCGGAGACATGTGAGGATCAGGCAAAGACATTTCCCCCTTAGGGTCGTCGGTCACGTCACATGCTCGGCCCTCACGACACAAGGGGAGGCCATGTGGAGGCGAGAACGGTTTCAGTCGGGAGGGGTGGACGTACCAACGGCGTTTTCCCCATTTTATCTGAACGCACTGGGGGCGTGCAACCCGCACGACCTCCACGGGTCCCCGCCATGGCTTCAACAATTTAGGCGACGTAGCCAAAGGTGCCTGAGGGCAATGCAGCCAGGCCCTGTCACCTGGTTCCCAGTTGTGCACGGACACCTTTCGTGCACGCAACCGCTCGTTTGCAATTTGGCGAGCCCGCGAATTAAGCCGTGCGGCCTCCCTCGCCTCTGTCAGCTTATGAATATTAAATTTAATATGCTCTGCCAATTTTGAATTAGTTCGTGGTGCGGGCAGGCCCAGCTGCGTTTCCATGGGCGGGTCAGCCTCCCGACCGTACATCAGATAGAACGGGGAAAATCCCGTAGCTGCATGGGGGGCCATTCTATACGCGGCGAGGACCCCAGGGACCTGTAGGTCCCAATCAACATGTGCCTCACACACCTGCTGGCACAGCATAGAAGTCAATGTCCTGTGGAGTCTCTCCACCATCCCGTCCGTCTGCGGGTGGTACGGGGAGGTACGCACCTTCTTAGTACCCAACAGGTCGCACACCTCTTGCAGTAATTTACTCGAAAAATGTTTCCCTTGGTCGGTCAGCAAGCGTTCGGGAGCCCCCTTGTCCAGGACGTAGCCCTGGACAAAGGCGTCCGTCACAGCCGCCGCCGACTGGTTGGCGAGTGGCCACGCCATAGGCCACCGGGTAAAATATTCGACCCCCACCAACAGGTACTTATTACCTCTAGGCGTGACTGGAAAAGGCCCCAGAATATCGAGTGCAACGAGCTCGTTAGTGCGCGAGACCTGAATAGATTGCAGCGGTGGATTAGCTGCCACAGGCGGTGGTTTCCGTCTGGCGCACTCAACACAACCCTTCAGAATATTCACCACGTCACTCCCCATTCCCGGCCAATAATAGTCACGCTGAAGCAGGGCAAGCGTTTTGTTAACTCCCAAATGCAAG